GGCCTGGAGCTCACTAGTTTGGCTAGGCTGGCTGGCTAGAGATCCTCCCACCCCCTTAATATGGGTTCTGGAGCTCTTAACCCAAGTTCTTTACCAATTGAGCCATCTCCCAGCTCCCTAAATGGAACCGATTTTTAAATTTCAATTTCCAATTACTTATTGCTTACGTTTAGAAACAGAGTTGATTCCTGAGCTTTGACCTTGCAGGCTGCCATCTTGCTATCCTCCCTGAGTCCTAGGAGCTCTCTGAGATGATGTGGATTTTCAGTGTAGACAGTTGTATCACTCAGAGGTAGAAAGCACCTCCTCCCCTGCCGGTTTGCCTCCTCCCATTTTCCTGTCTTCCCTGGTCTGGACTTGCAGAATAGAAAAGCCACCCAGGATGTCTTCCACCCTCCCTTGTCCCTGATCTCAGGGAAGCATCTCTCAGGGACTCATCTCAAATGAGATCACAGTCCCAGGTGCGCTCTAGATGCCCTTCACCAAGTTTGCCAAGTTCTTTTAAGTTCCTACTCATCGGGGAGGTGGTTTTTTTTTTTATCATTATTATTATCGTGATTAGATCTTGAAATTTATCAAATTCTTTTTCTAACCCTATTAAGATTGGGTTTTCTTTATTCAGTTGCCTTGGTACTTTGCAGTGATTGGTAGTCAAATGGTGGCCACTCTTGCTTATGAGAAAAGTCTCACCAGATAGGGCTACCTTATAACTGTGGTGTATTGCTGAATTTGATCTCTTAGTGCTTTCCTGATTGTGTTTTGAACTTGTATTCATGAGGGATAGTTGTCTGCGGGTCTCTTTTCTTGTCTGTGATGTTATTTCTTTCTTTATTTGAGTGTCTGGGTAATGATTTAGAATTGTCTAATTATTTCCTCAAATGCCCGGTGGGGTTCTTCTGTGAAACACTAACACATCTTACCCTTGTTTCTCTGTGTGTGAAGCATCCTTGTTGTCCCATCTGAAGCTCCTGAAGAGTCAGTCACCTTTCGCTGTCATAGTAAATTCTCCGAGTCCAGTTGTACATTGGCCATTCCTTCCCTCCCCACCCTTCTCCCTTCCCCTCCCCTCTACTCTCTTTTCACCTCCCCTCCCCTCCCCTCCGCTCCACTCCACTCTCCCCTCCTCTCCCCTCCACTCTCTTCCCCTCCCCTCTCCTCCCCTCCCCTCCCCTCCACTCTCTTTTCCCCTCCCCTCCCCTCCACTCTCTTCTCCCCTTCCCTCCCCTCTACTCTCTTTTCCCCTCCCCTCCCCTCTCCTCCCCTCCACTCTCTCCTCCCCTCCCCTCCACTCTCTTCTCCCCTCCCCTCCACTCTACTCTCTTCTCCCATCCCCTTCCCTGTCTTCTCCCCTCCTCCCTCCTCCCTTCTCCCCTCTCCTCCCCTCCACTGTTTCCCACCCCTTCCTTCTTCCTCTTCCCTCTTCTCTCCTTTCATCTCCCCCTCCTCTCCTCTTCCTTCACCTCCCCTACTTCCCCTCTCCTCCTCTCCTTCTCTCTCTCTCTCTCTCTCTCTCTCTCTCTCTCTCTCTCTCTCTCTCTCTCCATGAGCAGCCCTTGTTTTTCCTTGCATTTCAGAATGTGTGGTCACCAGACCTCTTCAGGTCTCCGTGGGCTTTAGAGGAGTCACAATTCTGTTGTTTCAGGCTTTTCTTTTCTCAGTGGCTCTGATGGTCCCTCCAGGGCTCTCCGTCCAGACAGCTATCCTTGGGACTATTTTTAATTCACAAGATTCACGTGGTGCTGAAAGGGAAATTGGGCAGTTTCCTCTTGATGTGTGGATGGAAGGACTTGGGGAGGCCGTGGTCATGGGTGATGGCAGATGGAAAGAAAACGTGGACTGGAAGAGTCAACTGAGAGACATGATGAATTCTAAATTCTTCCATCTCTGCATGGGATGAGACGATAAAGAAGAGCTGTGGAGATGAAGTTACTTTTTGTTTTGTTTGTTTGTTTGAGACAGGGTGATCTAACCCAGGCTACCATGTAGCCAAGGATGACTCTCTGACCTCTTCTTCCCCAGTGCTGAGATTACAGGCCTGTGCCGCCTCTTCTGGTTTATGTGGCACTAGAGGTGGAACCCAGGGCTTCATACATACTGGGCAGTGCTCTGCCCACTGAGCCACACCCCCAGCTCTAGGCTGCCATTCTTAACAGGACCATGTCCCCACCCTGTACTTTGTAACAGGAGATGCTTGTGTGTTTTTCTTTACCTGGACCCTAAGGATCCTTGTGGCTTCCATGCCTCGCTGTGGAAACGAAGTCCTAAAGAGCCAGGGTGTCCTCTCTGCCATAAGAGGACTGACAATCCAGCAGTTGGGTCATCCCTGCTTTGAAGGACACCAGCACTGGGCTCCTGGAAGCACTAGCCTTTCCCAGGAAGCTTGCCTGTCTTCGTGGCCCACCATGTGTAAGAGCAGCCACTGTGCGGGGCGTTTGTGTTCCTGTGCAAGGGCGACCATTCACCTTCTCAGCCCACACCACTTCTTAACCACACCCTGCCCCCAGGACTCCATTCTTCCCCAGGCAGGAGTACCAGCTGCCTCTCAAAGTACCAAAAAAGCTTCAAGAATATGTCACTCAGTGTTGTTGTTGCTGTCTTCCTGACAAATGCAACACACAAATGTCTGACAAAAACAGTTCAGAGGTGCTGGGAAAATGGTGCTAGACAGATGGGTCCTCAACTACATGCTACCAAGCCTGATGACCCCAGAGTCCACATGATAGGAGACCTGATTCCAGAGGTTGTCTCTGCCCTCCGTATATCCCAGAGGTACTCACATAGCCCCTCCCAAATCAGTATATGCCATTTTAAAATTTAAAAATACTCAAAGGAGGAAAACTTTATTTAGGCTGGGTGGTTATGGTCCATTGTTTCTGACTGAGGCCCGGCATCATGGGGGCTGGAAGGCAGAGGGACCACACCTGCAGCAGCAGGCTCACGTCTTCCCATTTTGTTATATAGACTCCTGGTCTTGGGGCTGACGCTGCCCACAGCAGGGCAGGTAGCCTCCCCCTAAGTAACCTCTGGGAACTTGGAAACACATTCACAGACACAAGTTGGGTGGGCTCTGGCAACCTCCGAGGTGCTTCCCAACTTCTCGGTCCAGTCAAGTTGAATGTCAGAAAGAAGTGAGGCAAAGCCAGAAGCAGTTTTCTCTTAGATTTTTTTCTTTTACTTTTCAAGATAATAATATAATTACTCATTCCCTCCCTCTCTCCAAATCCTCCCCTATGCCTCTCCTTGCTTTCTTTCAAATGTATGCCCCCACTTTTTTATCAGTTGTTGTTACATACATGTATATATTCATATATATTCCTAAATACCTAAATACACCCTGCTCAGTGTGTACATTACTTGTAGGTGTGTTTGGGAGTGGGGCTAACCATTTGGTATTGAATAATCAATTGGTGCTGTCTTCCCAGGGAAAGACATTCTCCCAGTCTTGGCATTCTGTAGTTGCCTATAGTTCTTTGTGCATGAATGAACAGTAATACCCATAGGAGGAGTGTGATGGTTTGAGCCAGTGAACAAGCCAGTGAGAAGTGTTCCTCCATGGTTTTTGCCTCCAGTCTCTGCCTGAGTTACTTCCCTCCATGATGAACTGTGACCTGGAAGTAAAGTCAAATAAACCATGTCCTCCTCTGAGTTTCATGGGCAGCTGGTTAAAGAAGCACAAAGACCTGAGTGTGACCCCCAGAACCCACTCTAAAAAACAAAAAAAAAAGGCACATACTTATAATCCCAGTGTTGGGGAACTAGAAAGGTAGGTCCCTGGGGTTCACTAGCCAGCCAGCTTAGTCTAATCAGCAAGTTCCAGGTCCCCTTAAATAATCCTCTCTGGGAACTTGCATCAAAAAACAACAACAAAAACAAAAGAAAAAGACGGTAGAATGGGCTGGAGCTATGGCTTAGTGGTTAAGAGCACTTGTTCTTGCAGAGGACCCAGATTCGGTTCCCAGCACCCATGTGGCAGCTCAGAACCATCCATAACTTCAGTTCCAGTGAATCCAGCACCCTCTCTGACCTCCATGGACCCCGGGCACACACACGGCACACAGACATACATGCAGGCAAAATACCCATACACATAAAGATAAATAAAGCTTTCAAAAATGTGGACAGGGTCAGAGGAACAAAATTGGGGGTTGGCCCCTGGCCTCCACAGGTGTGTACACCTGCACACACTTGTGCAGCTACATACAAACACACATTTAGAATTAGTTCCCTTTCTGTCCCTATGATGACATCACTAATGATATCACACCATGGCATCACTAGAGCACCTTAGAAGAGGAAAGTGTTTTTTTGGCTTTACTTCCAGGTCACAATTCATCACTGAGGGAAGTAATTCAGGGCAGGAACTGCAGGCAAAAATCACAGAGGAACACTACTCACTAGCTCACGCTCAGCTAGCTTTCTTATAATGTAAAACCCAGGTTCACCTGCTTAGGAATGGTGCTGCCCACAGTGGACTGGGCCCTCCTACATCCATCATCCATCAGGACAATTCCCCACAGACTAATCTAATCCAGGTAGTTCTTCAGTTGAGTGTCTTTCTTCCCAGGTTGTGTCAAGTGAACAATAAAAACAAACTGGAAAGGGGAGGGGAGCTTAGAACAGTGGAAGGCCACTCTAGATGAAACCTTGCCTTGGCTGTGATGATTTGAGGTGGCAATGGGGGTAATTGAGGAAACAGTAAGGGTTTCGTGTGCTGTTCGTCTCAGATCTGTGGGAAAGGCCCATCTGTGGGGTGAGACGGTGGTCTAATGCAGTTTCCTGCCTCTGCCTTAAAGAAGCAACTCTCCCACAGAAAATGGGAAATGACCCAACTCTCCTTCTTTGTTACATGAGGATAAGCTTGGGAGAATTCCCTTCCCTTCCCATCCGTGCTGTGATTGCTGTTGGACCCTGAGTGGTGACTAAGGTTTCTTTTTTCTCTCTTCTCCCCACGGTGCCTCCTGCCGTTTGTGGTGCTGCCTTCCACCTCCACGTGAGAGCAGTGCCTACAGCACCACCACAGAACGTGCAGGCAGAAGCTGTGAATTCCACCACCGTGCACTTCCTGTGGAACCCGCCGCCCCAGCAGTTCATCAACGGCATCAACCAGGGATACAAGGTACCTGGCCTGGTTTGGGAACCTCCAGATGGCACTCATGGGCAGTATCGATCACATCATACATTGGGTTCCATCCTTCCTATATCATCGAAAACTCAGGGCATCAAATGCTGAGTACCGAAACCTTGGTGGGGCCACCAGTTGTCCGATGTCTAATCAGTTGTCCCAGGCCAGAAACCCGAATGATCAGTTGATAAGAGGGCACAGGGGACCAGGCTCTAGTCAGATTAACGGGGTTCAGGGAAGGCTGGGAGACAGTTCAGTCAGTAAAGTGCTTGCCATACAAGCATAAAGATTTGAGATCCCTCAGAACCCATCAAACTAAAAGATGCATGCTTGGCAGTGCACACCTGTCATCCCAGCATCAGGGAAGCAGAGTCGGGAGATCCCTGGGGCTTGCTGGCCAGCCAGCCTAGTGAAATGAGTAAGCTCCAAGTTCAGTGAGAGACCCTGTCTCAGAAACTACGATGGAGAGTGACTGAGGAAGACACTCGAGGTCAGCCTCTGGCCTCCACATGGATGGACACCCATGGGCACACATATACATGCACACCAGCATACACGTGTGCACACATTCATCGCACACAAACACATACATACTCATCATCATCATCGTCTATGTGGCATGATTGGAGTCAGCCTGTATCCAACCACTTCTTCCTAGAAGGGGATCCTCTAGGCAGAACACAGAGTCAAGGGCAGGGACTCATGAGAGGGAGGGTCCCATTCAGCAAAGAGACCATTTTGTTCTCTGCTTTGGGGATGGTTCTGTTTAAAGAATGGAGAACAGAGAGTGTGGGCCAGGTTGCCCTACCCAAACTGAATTAATGAGCAGACTCTGTTGCCGGGTTAGATGCGCTCCGGTGCACATTCCAACAGCATAGTTTCTTCCCTTTACATCAACTTCTCCTGGTTGAACTTGGGAGCCTGACTCCATTGTGCAAAAGTGAGTTCGCTAACCCCTCATGCAGGAGACTTAGGGAGTCCCTTTGGAGAGAGGTGAGTCACTGATGCTTTCAGCTTCTAAAAGTGTCATTCCCTAGCACTTGGTTCATTTTTCTTTTCCATTTGGGTTCAGCTCCCTCAAACGCGTGTTTGTCTGTGATGAGGGCAGGCCCAGCTAGGAGCGTGCCATGCCACTGCTTCTTCCTCGGAGGTATCTAAGGGCAGATGCCTTTTTGAAGGCGCAAAACTCCATCACTCTTGACTCTCCTGCCAGGTCTGAGTGGTGAGAACACTGTGCGCATCTGATGGCTGGCTTGTCAGTTTGATCTGCACAGATGTGTTCTGTGCCCTGCTGTCCGCTGGCTTTCAGAACCAATCAGTTCTGGAGATGCATGGTGTCAAGAGACTAAAACTCATACACATACACAGAATTGCCAAATCGTGAAAGTGGCTTTTCCTGAAGCATGCACATGTACATACATACACACACACACACACACACACACGCACACGCACACGCACACGCACACGCACACGCACACGCACACGCACACGCGCACACACACACACACACACACACACACACACACTATTTCTTGTTTTGTTTCTAAAACAGTGTTTCATGTAGACCAGGCTGGCCACAAACGGTGTGGCTGAATATGGCCTTGAACTCTTGATTTTCCAGTTTCCACCTCCTTAGTTCTGGGATCAACAAGCATATGCCACCATGTTGTGTTTATGTGGTACTGAGCTAGAACCCAGGGTTTCCTGCATGCTAACCAAGCTCTCTTCTAGTTGTACTGTGTCCCTAACCCCTGTATATGCCCTTTACTTAAAATTCTAACCTATCTCCTAAAATCCACTCCAGGAAACTAGTGTAACATAAATTATAATCATTAAGAGTGTTCCTATCGAATCATTTTGAGTCAGTGTAGACATCTATCTGGAGAATATTTGTGTTTATCTCCTCATGCTAATTAGTTGAATTAACAGATGATGTCATCTTTGCCCCCCCACCATTAAAAAAAATCCATGCTTAGTAATATCCTAAGAGAAGATGGAGGTTTAAGGGAGTGTCCATTACTGTAACAAGAGTTAAGCAGCCATTTCATTCATGTATATAAATATATATTTGTAAATGTACAAAAATATATGAGACATATTTTAAAGTCAACTTTTTTGAAATGAGATTATAAGATATAACAGGATTTATAGCCAAGCCTTACTGTCTCAGCTACTTGGGAGGCTGAGGCAAGAGAACCACAAGTTCAAGGCCAGCCTGGGAAACTTAATAAAACCCTGTAAAGTCGACAGGGATATAACTCAGCGATAGAGTGCTTGTCTAAAATACCCCCCGGTGAGTATAGCTTAGTAGCAGAGCCTCTGCCTCGAATCCTCGAGTGAGGGGCTGAGGGTGTGGCTCAGTGGTAGATCACCTGCCTAGAATCCCCCAGTGAGGGGCTGGGGTGTGACTCAGTGGTAGAGAACCTGCCTAGAATCCTCAGTGAGGGGCTGGGGTGTGGCTCAGTGGTAGAGCACCTGCCTAGAATCCCCAGTGAGGGGCTGGGGTGTGGCTCAGTGGTAGAGCACCTGCCTAGAATCCCCCAGTGAGGGGCTGGGGTGTGGCTCAGTGGTAGAGCACCTGCCTAGAATCCCCCAGTGAGGGGCTGGGAGTGTGGATCTGGGGTAGAGCACCTGCCTAGAATCCCCCAGTGAGGGGCTGGGGTGTGGATCTGGGGTAGAGTGCTTGCCTAAAGCTCTGGGTTTTATCCCCAAATATGAGAAAGAAAAAACGATGTGGGATTTATAGACTTATTGAATTGTGACTCTGCTTTCTTTAAAGACATACTAATTGTAAACTAAAATTTTGATAGACAGTTAAGTGAAGAAATGCAATTGAAAGGGGTCTTTTTCTTTAACTCTTTCCCTACCAGCTTCTGGCATGGCCAGCAGATGCCCCCGAGATTGTCACTGTCGTCACTATTGCGCCCGACTTCCATGGAATTCACCATGGGTACATAACAAACTTGAAGAAGTTCACAGCCTACTTCACATCGGTCCTGTGCTTTACCACCCCAGGGGATGGGCCTCCAAGCTCGCCTCAGCTTGTGTGGACCCACGAGGACAGTGAGTATCCCTCTCCTTGTGTCAGAGCTTAGCCTCCCAGGGCCCGTAGTCAGAAGGTGGTCACGTCACTCCCTGAACTGGGTCACAGTGCGGAATGCACAAGGAAGCCCTTAGATCAGTGTGTCCCTGAATGGCAAAATGTGATTCCAGCCTCAGAAGGCAGAGACTGGGGATCCCCAAATCAAGCCAGCTAGTAAGACTAGCCATATGGCAAGCTCTGGGTTTGATTGAGAGCCCTGCCTCAATGAATAGGTTAGAAGAGCCTTTAGGATGATTCTAACATCAACCCTGGGCCTCTGCATGAACACACGTACACACTCACACCTGTGCACGTGTATTGATCGCCCCATACATACAAACATGCATATAGCCACACATGTCTGTGAAATTGGAAAACTGAAAATGAATATAATAAAATAGAAAAAGAACTCAGATCCTCAACGGAGGAATCTCCCTTGGCCCTAAACTACCATTTTTAGGGGGCCTATTTGTCCTATTTAGAAGGATGTTGTGCCCTCGTGAAGATGGTATTGAGGGTGGGGTTGCAATTGACTCTAGGGGTACAGCTTGTTTGGGCTCGGGCCCCAGACGTAAGCTTCACTAGCTGGAGGCCTTCTCCAGAGCCCCGGTGAAACAGTAACATGCTGGGGGAGGGTCGCAGTAGAGAAAAAGAATATAAATTGAAACCTAGACATTAGCAGAGTTAGAGGACAGTGCATTCGGGCAAGAATCCAGGAAGCAGAAACACTGGGGATATAAAAGTAGCAGCAAGCCTCCTCTGCTACTACATCGATCGCAAAAGAACAAGCCGCTTCACAAAACCCGTCAGAATGTCTTTCTGGAAGCTTGTGGTCAGGGGAGGATGACAGGGCTCTGACAGCCATCCTGTTTTACCATCTTCCACTGAGAGAAGTGGCGTTTGTCTCCGCCCCTCTCCAAAGGCTTGGCTGCTCTCACCCCCGTGAGTGCAGCTTCCGAGGCTGCACCTGTTTTAAAATTCCTAAGTTGTGTTAGGGGCTTTGTCATGGTTCCAGGAGGGAGAGAGGTACTGGCTGCTGCTTGTGTGGCAAGGCTGGTGGGAGCCAGAGAAGAGCCTGTGGCCCTCCCCTCCTGCAGGCCAAACAAGAGCCCTGACTTCACAGGGGAGCCCTCAGTGAGACTGTGCCCAGCAGGGTTGCAAGGGAGCCTGTGGCAAGGTGACTTGGATAGAAGGGTGCTCCCTCCCTGGCTAGAGCAGCTCCTCAGCTGAGAGGAGTGTGGGGAAGTGTACTGTGTTCTCCAAACACCTTCTTTTCCCTTAGGCAGGATGCAGTGGTGTGGGCCTTCTGTGGGCACCTTGTCTTGCTCCTGAAAATCCCTTGGGAGAGTAGTATTCAGAAACTAGAGCTCTGGTGGCGCATGCCTTTAATCCCAGCACTCAGGAGGCAAAGGCAGGCAGGTGTCTGTGAGTTCGAGGCCAGCCTATTCTCCAGAGTGAGTTCCAGGACAGCCAGGACTGTTTCACAGAGAAACCCTGTCTTGGGGGAAAAAGAAGGAAGGAAGGAAGGAAGGAAGGAAGGAAGGAAGGAAGGAAGGAAGGAAGGAAGGAAGGAAGGAAGGAAAGAGAGAGAGAGAGAGAGAGAGAGAGAGAGAGAGAGAAAGAAAGAAAGAAAGAAAGAAAGAAAGAAAGAAAGAAAGAAAGAAAGAAAGAAAGAAAGAAAGAAAGAAAGAAAGAAAGAGAAAGAAAGAGAGACAGGAGAAACTAGACCTCTGGGTTGGGTGAACAGACACTACCTACCCTTGGCCCTAGGCTCCATTTCTGCCTTTCATAAGGTATATGAGTGCCATAAAAGCAAGACTCCTGGCTCTTCTCACTGGGAGATTCTAGTCAAGTGTTCTTGCAAAGCCAAGCCCCTCACTGGGGACTTCTAGGCAGGTTATTCTACTACAGAGCCACACCCCATCCCCTTAATGGAAGATTCTAGCAAGCAATTGATTTCCAGGTCCAACCATGCAGATTATTCTACTGGATTGGATCAGGGAGAAAGATAGAAGCTGTGCCTGAATTTCCTGTGGCCACTTTCTTCACCTCACTTGTGTGTCGGTGTGGAGCTGGCAAAGTAACACACTCAAGAACAGAGAGCTCACCTCAGCACCCGGCCCCTCATCCGGGCCGTGCGCCTCCTGGCGATTCTTCCCTACAGGCTTCTGCTGGCCCGTCTCACCACTTCTGTTCTGCAGTGAAAGCTGTCCACACCGGTCTGATCAAAGAACAGCAAGCTCTAGGGTTAACACATGTCTTTATTTTTAATTGGTAGAACCGGGAGCTGTGGGGCACCTGAGTTTCACGGAGATTCTGGACACCTCTCTCAAGGTCAGCTGGCAGGAGCCCCTGGAGAGAAATGGCATCATTATGGGTAAGCAGCCTTTTTGTCTGGAAAGGAACACGGGAAGTGTGCCCTAACAAGAAGGGGTGGCCTCCATGTCAAACAAAGCTACTAAGAGTGGACCCAGTTCCGGGAGTAACTGACATGTCTTCCTGGATGTGTGGTGGTCATTATCCTGAGGCCGGGGCCAAGTAGGAGGTGTGGCTTATCTCCTTGTGCAGACAGAAGCCTCAGAGCTGGGAGTTAAGTCTCTGCTTCAGATGCTGCACAGTTCTTTTTGGGCAACCAGAATCAGCCTCAGTCTCTCTCTCTCTCTCTCTCTCTCTCTCTCTCTCTCTCTCTCTCTCTCTCTCTCTCTCTCTCTCTGTCTTTGTAGCTTTTGTGTATTTAGCTCAGTTCTCATAGCAATGTAGAATCTTACTGATATTCTGGCCATGTTACAGGTAAGGAAACTGAGGCTGGGAGAGCCTGTATTCAGCAAACACACCTACTGTGTGCATCCATATCTAATGCTCTCCTAGTAGGGCAGTGACGACAGTGCTGACATCTCCACCCTCCACCTTCTGTTGTGAGTTGCAAGGCCAGGACAAGGCCCTGATCTCCTGGCTTCAAATCCCAGATCAGCTCCTGCCCCACCACACTGGAGTGGGAAACCTAAGGCTATGGAAGTGCTGTGGGATGAAGAGCCTGGCCTCAAAGGGGTCCTTGGCCCCTGGATCTCGATGAGTCGAGCTCAGGGTAAACTGTGCATGGCTGGCCCTTCACGGTAAACCCTTCCACCAATGGGAGGGGCCTTGGGGAACAGCTCACCTTCACAAGACTCTTGATATTTGGCTTGTTTCTTTATGTGGCACAATGGATTGAAGCTAAGGCCTCCCAAATGCTAGGCAGTAAATAATCCCCTGGTTTCCCAAAAGTTGCTGAAGGAAATTCGTGTTCTTCCATTGAGCTGTGTCCGAGAACTGTGCAGACATGCCATATTGAGATAAGATAGGCGAGGTGACCTGTGGCTGCCATCAGGCTGTACTGTGGGCCCCTCCCCCGTGAGTGTCCTGGACTCCCCAGTGCCAGGCTCCTCAATACTGCAACATGCTACTTGTCATGCTCTATGATTGCTCATGTCCTCTACCCCAACTGGGCAGCAAGGACTCTGGGGGTGGAGGTCCCCATGATTGCACAGCTCAGAAGTGGCCTCTGGTAACTGCTTTCCCATCTCTGTATCATCACATGCTGGGAGTAAGGTGCAAACTGCACTCCTGGTCAACCTGGAAGGTCCCCACCTCCCCGTCCATGGCCCTCATTGGGTTTCCTAAAGCGCAGGGCCAAAGAAATACCTAGCAGTGCTGTATGTTAAGTCCAAATGACTTCAATACGTGTGCACGGAAAAATGTAAAAATAACATATTTAATAATAACACCTATGGGGCTGAGGAGATGCCTCAATCAGTGAGGACATGAGTTCAGTTCCCAGAACCTATTTTAGAAAGCCAGACTGGTGATCCATGTATTTGTAACCTCAGTGTTGGGGAGATAGACAAGTAGATCCTTGGGCTTTCTGGCCAGCCAGCCTAGTTTAATTGGCTAGATAAAGGCTATTGAGAGACCTTTTTCAACATAACACATTGCACACAGATGTATGCACATCTGCAAACATTAACACATACAAAGTTTAAAAAAAAAAAGTGTGTGTGCAATGTACTCTGGCCACCACCTGGGTACCACCCTGCTGCTCAGTCCATGGATCCACATGGGTTCAGCCACCTCCCTTCCTCCGCTAAGAGTCAGCCCATGTCATCTGTCCTTTTGTAGTCAAGGGCCTGCCCAGATCTCTGCTGTGCCCAGATAAGATGAGTCCACAGGTGTGTGGCTCACCATGGTCTTGAAACAACTTTCTCAAGCTGGCTCATGAGGTAGGAACAGGCAAGGAATGTTCCAGACTGTCCCAGCAACAGGGCCACTACCACTGGAAGGTCTCAGCAGTGACCCTGGCAACCAGCCCAGACACTACTCAGGATGGGATATTCTTTGATCAGCTGTGTCTCCCAGAGCCTCTCACAGTCATTCACAAATCACACATAGGGCCTCGGAGCTAACCCCATCTCAAACCCTGACTGTTGAGTAATATGCATGCACCTGTCTACCTGATTCCGCCTGTACTGGACTGTGTCCTCACTGCAGGACAGAGATGGCTGCTACTGGGGTAGGGCATCAAAGCCCAGGTCTGTTGTGGATGGCTGCAAGATACAGAACATGTAAATAAGACTGTTTCCCTGAGCTTGGAGCAGAAGGAAACCAACCCAGAAGGGACAGACAGGGACTGGGTAGGCAGCAGAGACCTGATGCAGGTGAATATATCTTTATGTCACACAGAGGGCAGGAACAAATGTAACAGAGAGATGATAGTACATCTGTGTAATAGGAGCTCTGTGGTGTGTGTGTGTGTGTGTGTGTGTGTGTGTGTGTGTGTGTGTGTGTGTGTGCGCACATGTGTGTGGAGGCCAGAAGACATCCTCAGTTGTCTTTCCCCAGGCATGATACTTTGTTTTTTAAAACAGGGTCTCTCATTGGCCTGGAACTCAGCAAGCCAACTAGACTGGCTGGCCAGTGAGCCCTGGGAATCTGCTTATCTCCATCTCCCCGGTGCCAGGATTACAAACAGATACCACACTTTTTACATGGTTACTGGGGGACCAAATTTAAATCCTCACGTGTGCATAGCAAGCATATAACTCACCAAGCCATCTCTACAGCCCCAGAAAGGAAGTCTGTCTAGATCAGATCTGGAAAGGAGGCTGCAGAGTGAGAGGGGCAGCAGTCTTGCCTGTCCAAATGGCCTCAAGACGTGTACTGTGTTCTAGAAACTGTCCAAGACTCTTCAGTAGGCATCCTAACCCAGAAGGGTTTCCCCTGTCCCAGATCTGCACCCCCTAAACCTCCTGAACTCCTACACTCCTTCCAAACTGCCCCCATACTTCATTCTTGTTTTATAGCTTGAGGGGAGACCAGGGGAGCTGAGCCAACATTCCATGGCTGAAAGCTAGTTGCCAGGACCTCCAATTTATGATCATCTGCTCTCGCCAGCTAATGGGGCCTAATGAACTCATTTTCATACTTTATTTAAACAAATACCTGTAGTCACAAGCGGCTAGCGAGTGTTTATGATAGAGCTTGACCCTCAGAGCTGGGATGTCTCCCAGTTGGATTCTGCTGGCCTGCTTCCACCATGGCCTCGGCTGAGTAAAGAGGCCGCCCCGCTGCTAGCAGAGCTTCAGGCGGACTCTGTCCTTCATATCAGGACCAAAGTTGTCCACTCCTCACTGTCCAGCCTGTGCATCTGTCCACTCCTGCTCACACTGTAAAAACATGTGTTTGCAGAAGCTGGGGGTGATGCCTGCTGCCCTGAGAAGCACTATCGAGACCAAATGACAGTGTCATTAGCTGGATGCCATCCAGCCCAAATTCCCCTGTGCCACCCACCTTCAGTGTCACTCACTCAGCACTCCAGCACTGCCTGATGGCAGGCGCCGCCCCCCCCCAAAAAAAAAGCCGTGAATCTTCCCTAGGACAAGCCAGCAGCCCCCAGAAGGTCAACACTGTGCAGGAGATGGTTCAGTCAGTAAAGAGAATGTGTGTGACCCTAATTCCCCAGAGTCCATGTAAAAGTCAGACACACAGAACACACTTGTATCCCCAGCACCAAGAACATGGACAGACCTCACAGAATCGATGAACTCTGGGCTCAGGAAGACGCACCATCTCAAAACTTATGGTGGAAAGGGATTGAAAACATTGACCTCTGGCCTATATACACACACAGAGAGAGGGGGTGTGGCGGGGGAAGAAGAAGGAGAAGAAGAAGAAGAAGAAGAAGAAGAAGAAGAAGAAGAAGAAGAAGAAGAAGAAGAAGAAGAAGAAGAAGAAGAAGAAGAAGAAGACTGCTTACAGAGACAAACCTGGCCTTCTGAGCCTAGGTCAGGGAATGGTAGCATGCACCCCCTCCTTCAAAGACATCACGTATAGAACTCCCACTGCTGAAGGCAGCTGCAGGAGGCACACACAGCCAAAAGTTTAGTCCTGGGCAATGTGACCTTTATGGTGGGGTGTCTGTTGGAGATGATGCTTTATCAGCCTGGCCCTTGGTGACCACCCCCATTCCATGTCTCCGTTTTATTTTTTGGCCAGAACGAGAAGGAAGCTTCAAGCAAGGGCGGCCGTGCACCTGCCTCAGTAAATTGCCCATTGTGCTTGTGTTGTAAATTGCAGTGTCTCCCACTCTTCCCCCACTAAACCCTGATTTATGAGGGCCGGGATGCAGACAGACAGTCTGTGATTGGATGCACTACTCTCTGGTAGAGAATTTACTCCAGATCAACAGAAAATTATTTCTGAAGCTGCTGTGGTCGTTAGTCTCAGTTAGCAGGGCCGTTCCCAGCAGGTAAGATGCAGAGCTGGAGGTGGCTGGGAATGCTGGCTCTAGGCAACTCCTCACTCTGCTCCCTCCTGCCACAAGCCGAAGTTAGATGAAGTGCTTGCTGGCCGGAGCTGCCCGCAGCCACCACTCAGATCTCCAAGGCTGTGTGTAAGTAGAAGGGAGACATCCTTACACACCAAATGTCCGGTTCTCTGCCCTGTGGCAATATCCCATTATACTGTTCATTGGAAGTTCCCAGCCAGGGCTTTCTCCTTGCTGGAACTAATCTTCTGCCCTCCAGAGCAGAGTAGGCTGTGTATGTGTAGGTGGGTAGGGGGTGGGTTTGCATATGTGTGCAGATGTGGGTACAGATGAAAACCAGAAGTCAACCTCAGATGTTGATCCCCAAGCACTACCCACCTTGATTTTTGAGACTTGGCCTGGTGCTCATGTATTAGGCTAAGCTGGCAGGCTGATGTGCCCAAGGGATCTATCTGCCTGTCTCCATCTCGCCAGCACTGGCATTACAAGCCTGTACCACCACACCTGGCTTTTGAAATGTAGGTTCTGGGAGATCAAACCCTTGCAAACACTTTATCGACTGAGCCCCTCCCGGCCCCAGCTCTTCACTTGTCCATTGGTGTCCATTTGTATCCGCAATGAGTTGAGCATACAGTGTGATCCATGTGGACTTGAGCAGACAGCAGCAGCACTGTGCTTACTGAAGACACTGAAATCGCTGTGTTTTGGCTCCAGGTTGACATGATGAACAAGATGCTGTGTTTGGTAAATTTTGCTAAAGAACAGCTTTTAAACAAATAGACTTTCTTGGCAGATGAGGTGGCAACATTCAACAAAGCTTCTTCTTCCCGGGCCCTCAGAGTGACCCGGAATCTCACACTGTTTAAAGATTAATCAGAAAAAACCCACCAGAGCCAGGGGTGGTGCTGGAATCCGTTTAGACACAGATGGAGAAGATGGCCCTGTAGCAGGGCTGTTGGTTTCTAGCAAGTTCCTGGGGCTCCTTGTTTATTTCTTTCTTTGTAAAGTGAAGATAAATAGCATCTCAGTATCAAGCGTGGTGTCCTGTGGGTTGCATGGTTTAGCCCAGGTAACATGCTTGGGACATCCCTTGAGACAGCCTTTCCCTCTGGAATTCACTGGCCCAATAGCAGAATGGGTCCTAGCCTCAGCCACAGGGGAGCCCTGAATCTCCCAAGCCCACATAGGATCACATGGCCTCTCAGGCCCTAGTCCCCAGCGCCCCACCCCACCTCTGCTCCTCACAACACTATTGTAGGATGCCCTAATGCTGACCTGCCCTTGATCTGTCAGTCATTGCGTAGAGAAAAGGCCCAGCGTGGTAGCACACAACTTTAGTCCTAGCATTAGGGAGGCAGAGCCAAGTGGATCTCTGTGAGTTCAAGGCAAGCCTGATCCAGATGCATGCTGGGATCTGTCTCAAAATAAAATAAAATAAGTCAAAAACAAGAAAATAGTTGCAACCCTAGGGCAACACATTGTTTGATGCTGTATGGGCTACTTTTCTCCTTACTGGTACCTGACAATAAACAAATTTGGCTAATAGTTGGAGGGATACAGCCTGAGGCAGCTGGTCATATGGCATCCATAGTCAGGAAGCGGAGCCAGATGAATGCTGGGGCTCAGCTGGCTTTCTCCCTTTTTTATTCAGTCTGAGACCCCAACTGATGAGAGAGTGCCATCTATGTTTAGGATATATCTTCCTACCTCAATTAATACAATCTAGAAAATCCTTCACAAACATGCAGGGACTTGTCTCCTAGGAGATTCTAGAGCTCATCAAATTGACAGTCACAAATGCTAGAAGTGGCATTTTTATTGTTTTTTTTTTTCCTTCAAAATTTCAAATTAGCCATAAAGAGCCAATGAGGGTACTCAGATCTTAGCACCTGGCCATGGAAGTTGAAGTGGAGTACTCAGATTTAGCACCCAGCCATGGAAGTTGAAGCAGAGTACTCAGATCTTATCACCCGGCCATGGAAACTCTGCAGTATGGGCAGTAGGTGAAGAAAGAGAGCCTAAGATTTGGCACTGGGCAAGAGGGGATGGGAAGTGGCAGCCAGAGACAGCATGGGAACAGCCCTTGCCAGCACCATGGGGAGAAGGGAACAGGGACTAGGGCCTGATGCCCTGGTAGACTACACAGAGTAGGGAGGCTTGATGCTCCATGTGCCTTGGGCAGAGATCTGTTCCACCCCTGGCCAGTGGAATTCAGGCGCTCAGGCAACCTCAAGGCCTCCATGGCCCCAGCATCCCTCCAGTGGTCTTTCTTGCCTTGCTGTCCCAGCTACACCTCCAACATCCGAGTCTCCCTAAAGGTACCTGGTAGTTATCACACTGTGTGATGACTGTGGGGACAGTGAGCAAGGGGTGAGTTCTGACATTAAATTTTTTTTTCAAAATATTAAAGTCCCGAGGCACCATCCTCTAAGTTCCTCTTTACCCGCAGGAGCAGTTTCTAACTTTATTTATGACTTTCATCTGAGAGAAAGGGAGCTAAGATGCCTCTTAGAGCTTCCATATCCCCGAGCTTATTGACTGAGAAGAAGGAAAGGCTGGCTTCCTCAGCAGTTTTCCTTCGCCCGAGGACCCAGGAGCTCTCTCCATCACTGTCCCCTCTTTACCAGACACTTTAAGCGCCCTCTAATCCCATCAGCTCCCCTCGAAAGGGGTTGACTCAGGCACTAGTTAGGGCTTTTTTTCTCTGAGCCCCAAGCCACGACAGAATCTGAGGCTGAATAAATTGTGATCACGAGGCCCCGCCAGACTGAGAAGAGAAACAGGAGGAAAATTAAATTTTTTTTTCTAGAAAACAGCATCTTCAGTAAGGAGGGGGGCAAAGCTCGGAGGCAAAGCAAAACAGAAAATAGGGCCAGGTAAAAGGAAATGTTTCCCTTTGAAAACCAGAAGAGTAGCCTGCCAATCATCACACAAAAGACAGAGAGAGAGAGAGAGAGAGAGAGAGAGAGAGAGAGAGAGAGAGAGAGAGAGAGAGAGAGAGAAAGGGACCCTCGAGCGAGCCACCAAGTTGGGGCTCTAGGTAATGAAAACAGCTGTTAATGAAGATGGGAACCATGCTGGAATGTCCCCTGATTCGACACGAACAAGCTAAGCACAGCACTGTAGGCTGGCAGTCAGGGCTGTAGCTCTCCAGTCCATGCGCCCAGCTCCTGAGGTCCCAGAACCCTGTTCTCACAGAACTGTATGGTGGGAACAGGGCCCAGCAGAGGCTTCTGTGGGAGCACAGAGGATGAGCCTGGTCTCCTTCCATTCACCACTGCGTGCTCTCCTGCTGTTCCAAACCACCTCAGGGAGGAGGGGTGACTGCCAGCCTGTCTGGTGGAGGGCCTGCCTCAGCTCTTCCCTTGTCTTTGCAGGCTATCAGATCTCCTGGGAGGTGTATGGGAAGAATGACTCTCGGCTCACACACACCCTCAACAGCACAACCCACGAGTACAAGATCCAAGGACTGTCATCTCTCACCACCTACACCATCGATGTGGCTGCTGTGACCGCCGCAGGTGTGGGCCTGACCACATCGTCCACCATCTCTTCGGGAGTACCCCCAGGTCAGCGGTCATGCAAACTTTTCCTGTGCTTGTAACCTCTGACCTTCCAATACGGTGGCATTTCCATGCAGAATCCACCAAGTGCCTGGAGAGCCTAGGGCAGGGCGTGGCCTCCTGCTGAGACGTGTGAAGGAAGAGGACACTGATCTACCCTCAGCTTAGCCTTCCACCTTATCTGATCGTGTGTGTCTCTCTCCCGGAGTGTGAGAGCAAACAGAAGTGGCTTGAAAGGGAAGGAGAGGAATGGTCTCCACGGGACTAAAACAAGGTCTCCACAGCCCAAGGTTTCCACCCTCCAGGGTGCACAGCCAATAGGTGCCTTTGAGAAAGGGGATTAAATATGTTTGAAATTGAGTGTGGGAGGGGTTGGCGCTGCAGCTCAGCTGTTGTGCACAAAGTCTTGGGTTTGATCTCCACACAAGCAAACCAGGTATGGTGATGCACGCATGGAATGCAAGGGTTTCACAAGTAAAGGCAGGTGCATCCAGAGTATAAGGCAGTCCTTGGCTACACAGTAAGTTGGCAGCCAAGTCTGGGTTACATGAGACCCTGTCTCAAAAATCCAAAAGACCACACAGCTTAGAGCTTCAGCTGCTGAAACCTCAAGAACTGGGTTTTGTAATGAGACAAAGTGGGGCTAGAGAGATGGATCAGTCGTTCAAAGCACTTGTCGCTCTCGCGTAGGACCCAGATTCAGTGTCTGGCACCATATGGTGGCTCACAGCTGTCTGTAACTCCAATTCTAGGGGAACCAATGCCCGTTTCTGATCTTTGAGGGCACCAGGTACACACAAGGTGCACATACATCTGTATAGGCAAAACACTCATATACATAAAATAACTGAATCTGAGAAAGAAAGAGAAAACAGTAGGAAAGATGGAGAGAGAGAGAGAGAGAGAGAGAGAGAGAGAGAGAGAGAGAGAGAGAGAGAGAGCTGCAGGTTGTGGGTGGCCGTTCAGCAAGCCACTGCTGCAGCCTGCTCATTAGCGTGGAAATGACTTCCACTCCTTCTGTGTGTCACTCTGGAACCCACAGGATCTTACTCAGTGCTTAGCCACACACCCATCAGCTCCAGAAATCCACCCCCGACTTGTGCTCTCCAGTTTTAAAGCTCCCGTTTAAGATGGGGATATGTTTCCAGAAACCTCGCAAATAGCTGTGAATATGGGGATAGGGGGTATAGACATGGGTCTAGTGGTTCAGCCCTTCAATGAAAACTGTTCCATCTCCTACCATTTAAAAGATGTCCATTGAAGGGGCTGGAGAGATGACTCATGGTTAAGAGCACTTGCTGTATAAGCAAGAAGACCTGAGTTTGGATCCTGAAACCCATGTAAAGAAGCCAGGTGCAGCTGAGGCACAAACCTGTAACCCCAACACTAACAGGGATGGGCGGGCAGAAACAGGATGGCTGGGATTCAATGGCTGCCAGCCTAGCTCCATATTCAGTGAGAGACCCTGTCTCAAAGGACTGAGGTGGAGAGTGATAGAGTGATGACCTCCTCAGGTTTTGTACATGCACAGGCATGTGCACCTGCATATACACATGCACATATACTACACACACACACACACACACACACACACACACACACACACACACATGTCAATTTGCCTTATTTGAAAAATATGACAACCTTATTGATAGAGGACCGAATAACTCACGTGAACTTAACTCATATTTGCTCCCCACTTCCAGTTCATTTTCATAACCTGATTGCTTGCTCTGGAGAGTGCTACGTGTATCTAAAAGTAATGTAAAACAAATGAAATGTGTGTATTGAAAGGAGCCCTCAGGAGTCCCCTATGTCCATCCTCACCTCGCCTCAGTGTGCCACTCTAAACATACTTCCTCTAAGTCCAAACTTGGTGTGGAGGTAGAAAGAGGAGATTGAGCAGCAGCAGGATCCACAGAATGACCTCCCTTGTTGTCCACCAGAGATGGCACTCCATTGAATGTGGGAGTCCCCCCCAGCAGGGGACGATGTGACCAAGCCTTTCTTCCCACCTGCACATGGTGGCCATTGTCCAAGGTAGTAGCCCTGACACTGACATGGGTACCGGAATTACAGGTGTTTGTCAAGCCCCTAAGAGTTGGGTCCCACCCGAGGAACTAGTCTGTAGAGGTGAGGGAAGGCTCCTGATGTTGCCTCTGGTTAAGTCCCATATGCATGGAAGACCATCACATTAAGGCAGTATAGCAGTGCTTTAAGTCTTCTGCGTGTAGAAAGATTCCCGTTTGTTTGTTTGTTTGTTTGTTTGTTTATTGTGTGTGGATCCATGTGCACACATGCATGTCATGGTCAGAGGCCAGCATCCGGTGCCTTCTTCCATTCCTTTTCATCTTATTTTGAGACAGAATCGCTCACTGAACCTGGAACTCACTGATTGGCCAGAGTGGCTGCCAGACAGGCTTCCGTTTCCCCAGAACTGAGATTACAGGTGTCGGTCACCACACCCGGCTTTTTATGTGGGTTCTGGGAACTGGTTTTCCAGCACAGGAGTATCTTCCACTGGGAAGCCAGGGAGCACCACAAAGTCACACTGTGTACCAAACCTCACACAAGAGATTTGTTGGAGAGACCCTCAGGCCGACAACTGCCTCTTGAGTGGGAAAACAGAGATAGCAGTGGGCTGGTGGAGGGACAGGTTTTCATAGCATCTTTGGAGCATGCACAGTGAGCTGGTAGAAAAGTACAGCCTAGTCAGAAGTATTGCTTGGCAGTTAACCCTGAGTCATGGGAGTGGGGGTTTCCAAGTTATGGGTTCAGGGACAGGCCAGGGACAGAATGATTTTCCATTGGCCTATTACACTGTATTCTGAGAATCTGAATTCAGTTCCTCATGCTTGTGCAAGTAGCATTTTTTTTTTTAGACTTTACCAACTAAGTCATCACCCCAGCCCATACGCATTGGTTTTCCTAAATATCTGGTTCCCATAAAACTTACAGCACCTAAACCACAGATTTGAAACAGAATTAGTCCAATCGTAGCAACGGCCATGATGTGGGCACTGTCTGATGTGTTAAAAATGGAGCCGGCACCAGGGAGAACATAGGCAGCACACCTGGTGTGAGTCACAAGGTTTTGTGACCTGGACACTGTCCATCCCTGATAGGGAATGAGTACACTGACCTCTGGAAGGCCTCTCTACATCCAGCATGACTGTCTCCAGACTATATGTCTCCAGGAACTGCAGAGGGGAAGCTCAGAAGAAAGATGGAGGCATGTGCTCTGAGTAAGCCTCTGGTAGCTGCTGTGAAGGGGAATTGCAAGCTGCCTGAAAGCCGGATCACCTGTAGCTGGAGGGCTACGCTAAGACACTCAGTAGCATCCGCAGGAAGAGCCTCCTGCAGCGATGAGCCTTTCCGAGGGGCAGGCTTTTGTTTACCAGGCTGGAGGTTTACGTCCATTAGTCACTGAAGAGCCGGTTTAAGAATCCAGAGAGCGAAAGACTAGAAAGAAGAGACACTTGTCCTTCACTTTAAACATTTTCTGCTTCAAATTCATTAAGCCACATGCAGAAGGACCCTTGAGATCCTAGAGACCCTGCTTGTGACAATAGCAAGCTGTTACCAAAGGGGCTTTATTATCCCGTGGCAAGACCTGCCTTCAAATACTCCAGCCATGCGAGCTAGGACATCCTTCTCCCAGAAACCTGAAGACATCAAGCGGGTTTTCTTTCCTTTCTTCCTCTCTCCTTCTTCCCTTGTTCCCTTCCTCTCTCTTCTTCCCTCTCTCCCTGTCACTCCCCTCCCCATACCCACCTCCTCTCTCTTTCTTTCTTCCTCTTAGATCCTGGAGATGGACCCCTGAGCTGTGTATGCTAGGCAAGTCCTCTACCACTGAGCGACACCCCAGCCTTGTTCTTGTCTGTTTTTGTTTTGTCCCATTTATTTATTTATTTAAAATTTCAAGACAAGGTTTCCTGTATCCCAGGCTAGCCCCAAACTTCCTATGTAGCTAAGAATAGCCATGAACTTCTGATTCTTCTGCCTCCATCTCAGTCCTGGAACCACAGAGGGACACTGTCATGACTGGCTTTATGCAGTGCTGGGCATCAAGGGCTTTGTGGATGCTGGGTGGACACTGCCCACTGAGGGATGCCTCCAGCCCTTTGTCATGTCTTTATAAGGTAGCTTGTGTTTGCATTTTTTTCTTTTTTTCTCTTTAACCCATTATCTTCCTCTAGGAAATTTCTCATTTTAAACACTTTGTTGAACTTGCAAGTAAGCCTGGTCTCCTAGATAACAGGCAAGCAGTGTCTCTGTGTGTGAGTGGGCCTCAGCCCGGGAAATCTTCAGATGATAGGGTTCACCTTCCACCTATGTCATTCCCAGAATAACTGAGTCCCACAAAAAGAGTTCTGCACTGTCACCAGCTTTTGGTTGTCTTGGAAACCAAATCCAAGACCTACAGAGTTCCATCCCCTCCTCAACCCTGACTTCCAGAGCATCATGGGAGCAGGGAAAAGGAATTAGACACTCCTTTCTTGATGCCAGGGCAGGAGCCTGGAGGACATAATCATGTTCCCTTGTCTATCTGTGCACAACAAGCACCTATTAATTATCTGCTCTGGATAGAGATGAACAAGACAGGAGTCTCTTAATGCCACTCGAGATGGCCTGGAGCACAGCAGGTGACCCTGTTAGAGGAAGCATCCTGCTGTGAGGTCTTGCTGGGGGAAGCTGCACTACTTCTCACTTTCATGGCTTGGTAAACAAGTGCCTTTTGCAGTAAAAAGTAATTTTGAAGCTGTTTCCTCCCTAACTTGCTTGGCACCTTCCCTAAGCTGTGGCAGGAGTTAACTCTCTTCCTGCCTCTCTCCTCCTCCTCTAGACCTTCCTGGGGCTCCATCCAACCTGGTGATTTCCAACATCAGCCCTCGCTCAGCCACACTTCAGTTCCGACCCGGCTATGACGGGAAGACAGCCATCTGCAAGTGGATCGTGGAGGGGCAGGTACGTGTCTCATGGCCCCAAGTGTTAGTAGCTTTTCCTGGTGCTATAACCAAATACCTGACACAGCAGCTTAAGGAGGAAGGAAGCTTTATTTTGGATTACAGTTGCAGTACTGTCTATAAAGGCAGGGAAGTCATAGGAACAGGAATGTGAGCCAGCTGGTCACATGATCATCCACAGTCAGGAAGCAGAAAGGAATGATTGCTGATGCTCAGTGCATTTTCTCCTTTTTACTCAGTCCAGGCCCCCAGCCCATGGATAGGGATACCCGTATTCAGAGTGGGTCTTCTCACCTCAGTTCTGGAAACCCCCTCACAGACATGGCCAAAGGTGTGTCTCCTAGGTAATTGTAGGTGATGTCAAATTGCCAATATTAAACACCACACCCCAGGAACTGGGGATTCCCAATAGAAAGATGATGATAAGGACCTCTCCTTTAGGGAGTGTTGATGTTCCTTCTAAAATGACTCCTCCTCGGGTGCTGGAGGGACTCCAAGATGGCTAAAAGGGGTTGTGCTTGGAGAGGAAGAGAAGAGGCAGGAATGAAATCAGACACTGGGGGCAGGATGGGCTAAGATGAGAAAATTAGGGTCCTATCAAATGGCCAGAGAATTTAGAATAAAGGGGGAAACTCAAGGCTGTTCCAGCATGGTACCCCAAATTAGATAGCACAGCCAACTGACTTTTAAATTCTACATCACAGTTAGCTACCAGACTGGTACAGCTTGTCTGGCATAGAGCATCATGGGTACAGCTGCCTTTCGAGAGCAGGCTCTGTCTCCAGGTGCTGTTCTAGGCATGGAGGATCCAGTGTTAGCTTGTGCTGTGGAGGGAAATGTTCTTCTGGGTGGCAGGACCTCCTGCTGCAGGGTGTGTCTGGAGACAGCACAGAGCAATAGGATGTGATGGAAAAATCTATCACACGGATCCAAGGATGGGCTGAGGGAAAGACTCAATGTAGTGTCAAGGGCTATAATAAACATTGGAGGGTCTGGGCATCTAGGAGGGATGTATGTAGATAGGCTCTGCTGGCATGGATGAATACCACACATTCCACCAGCTCCACGTTCTGATAAAAGAGAAAAAGATGAAGAGCCAAATTACAAGCAGTGAGTGGTGATGTTTGGAAGTAGTTCCTGTGTAATTAGATCCTGGTGACTCATTGCTGTCCTTTCACTGGGTTGTAGGAGTCTCTTCTGGGTACTGGCTGTGAGTTAGGAAGCAAATCTTACACCTACATGTGCAAAAGTTTCACCAAGCCCACCTTTCTGGAAAGCTATGTAGAATCTCCACAGTGTAAACTATCTGGATGGGAGCTATCTGTCACTGGGGCTGAGCCTATTTACTTAAGAAAAATAAGAGTATATCTGTCTTTTACATCTAATCAAAAAAATTCCCAGTGAATGAAAAAAATATGATGGAAACAGACTTTGAAACGCTTAGAAGAAAAATGTGTCTGCGGAAAACTAATTGTTACAACTTAATATTTATTGGTCAGCCGGGCGGTGGTGGCGCACGCCTTTAATCCCAGCACTCGGGAGGCAGAGCCAGGCGGATTTCTGTGAGTTCGAGGCCAGCCTGGGCTACCAAGTGAGTTCCAGGAAAGGCGCAAAGCTACACAGAGAAACCCTGTCTCGAAAAACCAAAAAAAAAAAAAAAAAAAAATTTATTGGTCCTAGTAGGTGAGCCAAGCACTATGTGGACCAAAGTATCAGCCACATCTGACATTCCTAGAAGCATTCTTACACTCCTGCTTCCCTCCGTTGAAGCCCTCCTCATCCATTGGTAGTCACTTGTCTTCTCTCTGTCACTATAGATTACATCTCTTTTTCTTTTTTCTAAGAGTCTTCTGCCCTTTTTCCCAGTGCCATGTCCTATTGACAACACCTAGGCACCAGAGAGGTCCTTGCATGATTCCTTCTAGTGGAACCACTTAGCACTCCTCTGTCCCTCCATGTCCTTTGAACCAGAAGTTCTTCACAAAAACTTGATGAAATGTGCTTTCACTTTTGCATCTCCCTCTCCTTCCTGCCTTCCCTCCTTCCTGCACTCTCAGCATATCCTTGGTTCTCTGCACATGTTGAGGTAGATAAAGAGCAGGGAGTTATGCCAAATAGAGCAGCAGGTGAAAGTGAACTGCCTGATCCCTGATCCCTACTCCACCAGTTCCCCATCAGTGTTTTATCTACTCACCCATGCATACTGTTTTACCTGAACTGTTTTCTTTGAACATTCAGAATGGAATTTTTTTTTATTCTCTCAACCTTTACTCACTTTGTCTCTGGAACTTTGAAGGGAAGCCCTTGCCCTAATCCCTCACATTGTGTAGGTACCTTCAAAGCCAGGAAGGCAGAAAAACACTCATTTATAAATTATCAAAGTAAGGCACTGCCTCCTTCTTCCGGTGTTAAACAGATTTGCTTTCTTTTTTTTCTTTTTGTTCTGTTTCTTTCCTACCATTGCAATAATTATGAAAGCATATGTTTTTATATTCAGTGTGTTCCAGGCATCTATCTGTACTCATTGCTCTATTTTAGTCATGTGTGTCTGTCTGTCTGTCTGTCTGTGCATGCCATGGTGCATGTATGAAGTCCTCACCTTCATCTTGTATGAGACAGTGTCTTTTGCCTGCTGTGCAACACCAGGTGAGCTGGCCCCTGAACTTCAGGGAATCTCCTGCTTCCACCCTCTTATCTGTCCATAGGAACACAGGGATTATGGACATATGCTACCATGTCCAGCTTTGTGTAGGGATTCAAACTCAGGACCTTGTGCTTGTGTGGTGAGCACTTTGCCCACAGAGTTGTCTATCTCCTTTACCCCCATTGCTGTCCTTTGAGTCCTAAATTCACCCATCGTTATCCCTTCATGCTCTAGATTTCTTGGCATGAGGAGATCTGGTTTTCTGGTGTTACATGATGTTCCAGGACATGGGGCCTTTCTGGTCCAAGCTCATATGAGCTGTTTCTACATGGGCCTGGGTTTTAAATAGTGTCAAATAACATTTAAAAATCAAAACCTAAGAATCAAAAGCTGAGCGAGCTCATTGCTACCATCTCATCATTGCTTCTAAACCTTTCTGGTCAGGAGAGGAAATACATTAAACATTTTTGTTAGATTTACTTTCACATTCATAAGTGTTTTGCCTATATGCACATTTATGTATCATATGTGTGCCTGGTGTTCATGGAGGCCAGAAGAGGGTGTCAGATCCACTAGAACTGGTTGTGAGCCACCATTGTGTATCCTGGAAATTGAACCTGTGTCTTCAGGAAGAGCAGCTAGTGCTCTTAACCATTGAGCCATCTCTCAGCCCCAGTAAAGATGTATTTTTAACACCATATGGTCATAGTGATATTCCCAATTCAAATAAAATACCGTTATCCTTAAAATCATATCTTATTCTAAATTTGCCTTATACTAAAATGCATTTTTTAAAGAAACCCCAATGTTCTTATTTTCTTTACCTGACTATTATACTGACTGTAAACCTGTGATTCCAACAGAGTAATCAAAAAAACTACTAATGCAATGTAAGTGTTTATCCTTAGGTTTAATTCTCTCCTGCATTCACAGTCAAGATGCTGAGCTTAAAAAAAAAAATCACTCAACAGCATTCTTTGCTTACCTGCTTTCATCACAAACTTGTAGATAACCAGACACATTCATTTCAGGTGTTGTGTTCTTTTGCCTTGCTTATTAGCAGTTAGTTTCTGTAAAGATCATTTCACCTGAGAGAAATGGCTAGGGCTTTTTAAGTTTATTTTCATTTGTAACCATTTACATTATTACAGAGTCAAAGCTATAGAAAAATGATGTGCTGGGAAGTCTAGGTTCTCTTGCCTGTTACTACACCTCATGGGTAATTATGCCTACTTGAATTTTGGTCTACCCTTTGTAGGTATGTGTTCATGTGTGTGCAGGTGCACATATGTGTGCAATGTACACATGTACACATTCTAATAGAGGCCAGAGGTCAACCTCAGCTCTTGTTCCTCAGGTACTGTTTGCCTGTCTCTTAAGGGCTTGGGGCTCACTGAGCATTCTAGGGATCCTCTTGTCTCTAACTCCCAACCACTCGGTTTACAAGTGAGTGTCAGCTATGCCCAGGTTTTTTGTTTTGTTTTGTTTAACTTGGGTTCTGTGGATCAAACTCAGGTTGCAAGGTAGACACTTTACTGAATGAACTGTCTTCCCAGATCTCTACCCTTCTCTTTGACAACAGAAACAAATCTCCATATTTGTATTACCGTTCTTGGGTGGAATGTGGACTTTTGCATTCTCTTCCCTCACAATGAAGTGGTTACTGCACATCTGTCCATTTCCTGGTGGCTCCCGCCATCCTTCCTGCAGCCAAGCCCTGCTGTGGATTATTTAGCCAGCCCTCCATGTTGGGCATGTGTTTTCTATCACTGCCATCAACAGATTGCCAAACACTGAGTGCTTTACAGAACAGAAACATGCTATTAGAGACCTTTAGGTCCCAAGTCTAGTGTGAGTTTTATGACTAAACCATGTTGCCCATAGCACAGTGTCCCCTCCAGACACTCTGAAGAGGAGCTGGGTTCTGTGATCATTAATGAGTAAGTAGAAATCAGTTCCATGTTGGGAGCCTGAGGTTTAGTATGTGGGAAGCTACCTGTCAGCAGGGCTATTCTAGCTGCTGGAGGTCACCTTGTTGGGTGTCTCATAGTTCCTTCCCATCTTCAAAGTCAGCAAGTGGGTCTCCTTCAGGCTTGGTCTCTATGCTTTGGTCTCATCTCAGTGACCCTTTTCCACTTCTAAGTACCCCTGTGGTGACTTTGGAGCCAATGTTCTTGCTCTTTAATGTGTTTAGCCTTGTTGCCTTAGCTTAGGCTTGTTCCTAACTAGTTCTTATAACTTAATTTAACCCATATATTTTCATCTGTGTTCTTCCATGAGACTTGTTACCCCATCTCCATACTGTCCATCCTGCTTTCTCCACTTTTTTCTTTCTAGAGTTTGCTCTCTGCCCAGAA